AATCAGAATAGGGCGAAAAATTATGGATATGCAAAGATATATAATGCTACAGCTAGCTGGCTATGCCTAGCCAATTTATGAGAGAATATGAATTGGAAAGATATAATACGCTTACGCATGATCATTATTTAAATAAGTCAGTTGAAGTTGATCATACTGTAACTAGATCATACGAAACATTTCAGTACAAATAAATCCGTAAGAAGATGTGATAAAATAACGAAACCCTTTCAGTTCGAAAAGACATAAAGAGGCTCATAGTAAAGAGATGGTTACAAGCCTGTAAAAATATATTTCTTAAGTGATAGTTTTCTGTATCCACAACCGAGTTCCTTGTTCCGCGTAATGGTGCATTGTAAATAAACCCTTCGTAGCACGACACGCTGACTCTGTTTAGTTAGCCTTTATTTAATCCTATCTGGAACTCACTGGGGCCAGTTATAATTATATAAATGTCCAAAAGAGCAAATAGACGTCAAAATGGATCATTCTGTAGAACCTTTCCAAATTTGATACTTTCAACAATTAGAAAACAATTCGTAGTGCTCAATAATCAAGGTGAAAGATTTTAGTCTAGCTCAAATAAACATAAAAGTCTGAACAGTAACCTTCACACATGAGCATTTCAGGTTGAAGCAGGTCTTTTGTGCTGTATATTAATTCATATAAATTTAGCTCTTGAACAGGACTTTTACACTTTAAAAATTAGGTAATAAAAATGCCAGCGTCTTAAGCCAGCTTACAAGCATCATAAAGGTGACAGTGAAAGAATATGAATGCATTGCTAGACAGTCAATGGCTCGATAGACCACTACCGATGTGTGGGCAAACTTTAACCTATGCCTTTTGCCCATTACTGAACTGCACGCGTGGCGGAAGCACCCTTAATACTAACGCACACTATAACTTATAACTCTTGCCTAGACAATGAGTTTAGCATGCTTTGAAACGTTGGCATTTGTATTAACAGAAATTACATGTGGAGAATCCCGTTCAAGAATTTGCTTCGTATGATCATGGATGAATATAAATGAAAATTTTACGCAATCGTGGAACCTGTTTTGAAAAACGGCTGTTTTACTTATAACTAAAAGTATTACTGTAGAAAAACAATGGATGCTGTCTTAGTAAATTTTTTCCAGGAACTTAAACGTTGTACTTAACTTTATACAACTCACCTTATGAATTCTTGGTAAAGAGGTGATCACGAAAAGACGCGGGATTTTATTCATAGATCTGCACTACTTCATGGTTCCTTATTATCACCACAGTATTATTTTGACAATGTTCATGAGATTACGGTTCATGGTTTCCTCAGCACGCTCGAAACATTGATCAGCCATTCGAGTCACGTTTGATAAGTTCTAATGAATGTCGCAATTATCTGAAACCAAACTAATTCTCGATCAGCTAATAGTCGCGCAAATTCATCATTGATCCTGTTGGCTAAGTCTGACAATGTTCATTAAAGCGTGAGAGGCTGCCAATCGATCAAATATTAGTTTCGCTCTGTGCGCGTTTTCGAAAGCGGAGTCTGAAGACAAAGCATCTCGTGCAAAGTTGTCTGGCGATTTCTATTCTCCGAGGTAAACGACTGAACATTGCACAAAGAAGTGGTGGCTGAGAATCGCTGTTCTACACCAAACGCTACAGGAACATCAGTGGTGAGTGGATTCCCTCAAAACATGAACACATTCATCGATCCAGCTGATCGAGGGATTGAGGGATTTGTACAGAGGCCACACGTGCAACATTCCGAAAAGTTGCACCACAGGACGAAGCCTGGCACAAGCCGTCGTACATACACAGCAGATCTGACGGCTGCATGCCAATCAATTCGTTACCGTCCCTTATGAATCTGCCGGTTATGCAAATGTGCTACATTTAATGCAGGAAACCTCAGCAGCCGCTGCAGCTGTTCAACGCTTTCGGCTTCAAATAGGCGAATGATGTTTCGATTGCTGTTCGACCAGTGAAAACAGTTGAAAGTAAAATGCCACCAGACTTAGAGCTATGACCAAAACCAAAACAATTTCAATCCTTACCATTCCCCGATGGCTGATTTAGGCGAATAGAAACACTGCGGTTTTGTTTAGCCTACGTTGCATCCGATCCGCCTTCTTCAGTGAATCCGGGTACTCTTATGAGTCTACTTGTTACTCATCGATCTTATGCAATTAATTTTGTCCTTCATCGCTTGAACAATGCTAACAAATACTACCAAACTCTAATCAGAAGAAAGAGTCTGGAACAGACAAAGCAAAAACGAGTGCACTATTCCTCAATTGTGAAGTATATAATGAAAACTACGCTACATTAAAAAACGAAAATAACCGAGTGATCACAATCTTTCTGATTCGAACTTTAGAACCAAAAGATTTCCCATGAGTGGTAATATTCGCATGAACTTTACTTGTTCTAAATTTATTAGAATATCATTTATTTTGTTTTTCACTGAAATTAAATTAGTTGTTAAATTTAAATGACTAATTAATTCTGCCTTTACGACTTTCTCTTGTCGCATAAGAAATTGACTTTTGGATTATTTTTAAGTAGAGTTGAGGTTTTGCAACCATAATAAACGATGATTGCGAAAGTAGTGCATAAACTTTCATTATTTAAGACAGCCACCCAAATTGTGATGATTAGACATCATAAGCATTTATGTTAGATAGTATGAGAAAACATTTACTCTCAACGTCTGGATAAATATTAACGTTATTATATCCATTGTTACAT